CCCCCCCCCCCCCCCTCTTGGATTTATACCCCACTTGTCGCAGACCTTCAAGTTTCTGTGTCATCTCAACCAACAGCCCTACCTCCCTAACCTCCCTCATCCGCAGGGCGAGAAAAATGTGAAATGAGAATGGGAACCCTGCCACGTTATAGAGTCATAATCATTGGTTAATTTAATTTTGGGGAAGGCTTGAGCGCTGAGAAATCCGTCATGTGACAAAGCCATGGAAAAAGAGAAACCTGCAATTACCGCCGTGGAAATTGCCGGACTGAGAAATGACCCACGAAAAGAGAAACACTGATTGCTGTGTGCTTGTTGTGAAGCAAGTGCTGGAGGGCAGGTGTAACACATTTCTGTTGCGTTGTTGCTCCTGACTTCTCTCCTAATCGTCTAACCCAAGCTGTTGGTAAATGTCTGGTTTTGGCCTTGTAAGGAAAAGGGAAAGAGAATCCCGCTCTAGTGCGTGGTCCATCTCCAAAAGGTAAGATCGGCTGTGCATCTGGCCATGCAGATGGCCCACTTGTGCAGGCACATGCACATCTGGGCCATCGAACAGTTTACTACGAATACTTGAGGGAGTCTTGAGAAACCAGTCGTGCTGTTGGCCAGGGCACAACCAAAATCTTGGAAAGTTGGCCAGATGGGAGAGTGGCCGTGCATGTGCATCTTAGGAAATCATCCCTATGCACTGACCCTCTGCTTCTTGGTCTATTGTGTAGCACCCTGTCGCCGTGGCACACTACCCCACGCTTGTCTTGCTCTGTCTTAGCCCTGTTGAACACGGACACACACACACACACACACACACACACACACACACACACACACACACACACACACACACACACACACACACACAGAGACACACACAGACACACACACACACACACAGAGAGAGAGAGAGAGAGATGTCTGACAGGTCAGTGATGTTTGAGATGGATCACTTCCCCCTAGGTTATCAATCGACAAGGTATTTTGATCATGACCCCCTAGGTTGTCCATCAATAAATTGAAAATAACTTTAGATATGGTCATATGGCAAGTCCATCTGCTGAGCAACCTGGCTGGAGATCATATTGTTTCCCGCACTTGATTCGGGCCCCATTTTTTGTTACCCTGCCCAGTTTTCCGTCACAGGTTTCTTGCTGCCTTGTTAGGATGGGTTCTCGCCGAGTCTTGAGAAGGCAGCCATGGTGATTGGGTTCTCGCCGAGTCCTGGCAACTGGATGTTTTTTGGTCAATCCTGTTAACAAATCTTGATGCACATGCAGTTCCTTGTTGGTTGGGGACCCATTTGCAATGTGTGCCTTGCAAAGCACTGATCGTATTACTTGTCGCTTGTTATGTCTGGTGTTTGTACGGAACTCGTGCAGTCGTTGGAGCTTTGGAATATGGCTGAAAACAAAAGCATGACAGTGAGTGGCGCTCATGAAGGTTTGATTGCAGCGCTGGCCCAGTGTCCAGCCACGCAAATGATTGCTTCAGCCAGCCACGACAAGACGGTGAAGTTGTGGAAATAGTTGGTTCGGATGTAATGGCGATCGCCAATCTGCGATTGCCCAATTTGTTAGTTCATCTCCTCCCTGTGATTTTCAGGGTATTTTTAAAGGTGGTCAGTCCTTGTGATTTTTATTCTTGTTCCCTTTTCCTGTACACACTTCATATTCAATTCGAAATCACTCCGGGTCAGGCTATAATGACAATCAAGGTCAGGCTGACCGTTCTCTTCTGAGGCTATGATTCGTACTGCGTCTCGGAGTACGATGATTGAAAGATTGCAATGGGGCATTTCCACAAGGCAAGATAACGGTGGGTAGTTATGGTGGTGCGGATGAGCTTCTAATATGCAGGGGGAGAGCAAAGGGCAGCCTCATTTTTGACTGTTTTCGGAGTAGCCGAAGCCTCTAGCAGGACTGTGTTCTGCCGGGCTTGCTGGTGAGATGAACTGGGGGACAGGGGGAGATGGAGGTAAAAAAGGTGACAATTTTGCTGCTGGAGTTGCTGGACTGACAGGGGGACTCTGAGGGACCTGTTTTCATGCGAAGTTTCAGGATGGCGGTGAGTCGGTGTAGCTGCACGGACTGCAAGATGCCTGCTGTAGGTCGTGAGTAGCTCCATCCCACCTTATTCCATTCATACCCACCTCTATGGATTGTTATTGTCACCTTGCTTTTGTTCCATTACGTCTCGTCTTAGCTTGATCATATTGATAGGAAAGGTTGTTTTGTAAACGTCAGTCAGACCGGTGGAGTTGTAGGAGTGTCTGTCTGCAGCATGTGCAAGCCACTACTCTGTAAGCTATACGGTGCCTGCAACAGAATTAGTTGGGTTAGGGTGTGAAGTTGGCGGTTGATTTGTGGCTTGGACTACAACCTTTGTGGCTTGAACTACAACCGACGGAAAAGGAGGGTGAGGTGGCTACGGGTTTGCGGAGGGGCTGCATTTGGGTGGGGCGTCGGTGAAGTGTGGACGTGATGCAGCCCACTTCTATCCTGGGCATTTCGTCTTCTGCCATGTACGGCTCAGCTTGTAAATCTATTATGGGTCAATGTGCACAGGAGACCCAATGCAGCTGCGGCGTATTTCACGACGTTGTGTTGCGTATTGAAGATCTTACTTTGCACGTGGGAGTGCTCTGAGATGAGCTTCCTTCCACTGCTTGTGCTACTTGCTTCTGAAGCAGTGATCTGGGCACGGCGATCACAGGCGGCTTTCTATAGTGGGAACATGCTAATGTGAATTTTTGGTATTTTTCTTTCCGCATGCATTGCAGTGGGACCAAGTCTGTCCAGAACGAGGAAAAAAGGGTCTGAAAAGCCTCCTAGCGTGTTTCTCTTCTCTGCTTGCATGGGTCGACGGGGCGATAGAAGCAGTGTGAAGTGGTTGGGGCAAAAGGATAGGGGTTAGCAGCAGTAGCATGTCCATTCATGGGCGTGAAACCATACAGCATTCTCTTGGGGGTATATTGCATCTTCCTGTATCGTTTTGGCATCGGAAAGCGGTTGTGGGTGCGCTTCCCTTCCTCACTTTCTACTACATCATCCATTTCTGTTCTTTATTACTTCAAGCTTGTGCTTTCCTTCCCGTCTTTCGGTGCGATGCCTTTCTGGAGGATGTGCTTGGGAATTTGAGCGAGCAGGAGCTCTGACCGCAGTTTGCTTCCTTGAGGCAGGATGCAAAATCGGAGCAAGATTGTCTCAGTTCCATTGCGTGCTCTCTCTTGCAGTCGTGGTCGTCAAAAGACCACCTGTACGAGTCTTTTCAAGAGGGTATGACCGCACGTGCTGTGGTGATTCTGGGAGATTTTCAACCCATGTCCTCTCTTGAATTCCTGTTTGGTGGTGGTTCTATCTTTGAAACTTTTGGAGAGTGTTGTATACGGTTATCTTCTGATTGTGAGCTGTTTTCTAGGAGTTCTATAATTCGGGCCGGATGTTTGCTCGTGATGGTCCTCTGCATAACCTGTGGGATCTGACTGGCTTTGTCCTCCAGTGCGGTCCCGAAAGCGGGTGCCATCCACTTCGATTCGGTCGGAGTAGTGGTAGTCCAGTTCTGGTCTATTCTTTGCCAGGCTGTCCCCTTCTGCCATTCTTCGGCTGTTGGCATGGGCCATGAGAATAGGGCAGGTGTTTGACCCCACAAGGAGGGATGGGGAGCACCCTTTGGTTATCTAGAGAATGCACGTGGTACAACAGATGAGCCACTTTTGTCTCTGCGCCGGTCTCGTCTGTTCACACCTGGGCATCCCTCTGTGCCAGAGGTGATGATGTCGCCGCCGCCTCCTGGAAGAGGGGGGGGAAAGACTCTTCGGTCAATTTCGTTTGTATATTTACAAATTTGCAATTCACCTCTCCCATTTCATCTTCTCTCCTGGCTGTCTTTTCGATCAGTTTCTCTCATTTGCGTGCCGCTGTCTTGTGAGTGGCTGGAATTGATGATGTGTCCTTGGTGTTGCTGGAATTTTCCTAGGCAGTGCTTTGGCTGTGATGAGCTGGCAGGAACCTGAAAAACTTTATCTTCTCCTCGCATGAACCTGAAAGTAAGTCACCTTCTCGTTGAATCCTCGCTCATTTTCTTGTTGCCTCTCTGCCTTTGCAACCCCCCCCCTTGTGAATGGCTTTATGACATTTCAGGCAGAATCACTTCAGCGTGACACGACTTCAAAAAAAGGTCACCCTTCCATCTCTTTGTTGGCACAAGCTCAGTGTTCTTTCTGTACCTCTGTTGAGGGAAGTGCGGAGGAGCATGTGATGCTCACAGGGAGACGTATACCTTGTCTAGGTGCTCGTCCTGCAATAGATTGGAGAGCAGCAGTTGGTCGACGTTCCCTTCATTATGACAGGGAGAGGAACATTTGAAGCGTGTTGATCTTTGTGCTTCACTATTCCATGTGCAAGAGGGTGAATAGCATGCAAGCTAGATGCCACTCTAGTCCAACCGTCTTTCTTGGACAGCAACCGGCTCTCCTACACACTCTTTTCTCCCTCTTTGACTGTGGCTCCACCAAAGGTATGGTCCTACGACGTCACTAGGAGCCAATCCAACCATGGCACGAGTACTGGAACCTCTGGGCTGCTTCGCCCAAAAAAACCAGCACTGCCTCATTGCTGTCGCCGCTGCATAGAAGATGGGGAATTCTGCACCACAGATCGAGGAGCCAATCCAACCATGTCAGCAGTACTGGTTCAAAGAGTAGTCGCTCTCTTCGTCCATTGTGTCTTTCCTCAAGGTGTTGATAAGGTGGGAGGGAGCGTACCAACGGGGTCGAAGTAATTTGAAAGCGGGTCTCTCTGTATAGTTGTTGAGCCACCCCGTTGTGGAAAGACGAGTTTCTTCTCAGAGCGCAGGTCCTTTTTTCGTTTCGCATGTTTGTTGTACCACAGGTGGGCAATTTCAAACTTTCCAACCATTAGGTGTGCTATCGGTTGTCTGTTTCACCGTCATACCTACTTGATTATGAAGCGCCTCTAAAACGTATCACGCACACTGTTTACTTCTCTAATTGCTTTTAAAACACGTCTCCTCCTGCCAGCCGTACACATATAGAGTGTGGATGTATGCAAGCTGTTTGACTAGTACTGTGCGTGCAGTGTGGCCTTCCGAACAGAACTCCCTTGCATGTGGACTTAATTGCAGTTTGATTCATCCAGATCTGAACTTCATTGCAGTTCTCGATTCATCCAGGTATCACCTTGCGTGTGGCCAGGATATGCGGACAAGGTACTACTAAGTAATCAGCAGCGCACCGTGTGTTCAGATTCACATATGACGCATTTCTGCCAACGAACTCAGCGATTGGGTGTGCCCAGTCCCAGAGATGGTGCAATTGGCATTTCTTTCTGTTCTTTTTTTTGTTTTTGTTTCCCCCGCCCCACCCTCTTTCGACGTGCAACGGTTTCCACTATTTGTTGTATCGGGCAGTGTACATGGTTCACAGTTGTTGCTCGTCTCTTGACTCTCATTTCACCTGTGTGTGAGCCGAGGAGCACTATGACGGTCGAGTGCCAACAATCCTTTATAAACAAAAAAGACGACAGCTATTGGTTTTCTGGGTGGCGGCATCTGTTACAGAGACTAGGGAGGGTGGGTACCTGGACGTGCAGGGAGCGTGAGGAGAGATCATTGGGTATTGTCTACTATAATGCATGAGGAAATTAATTGCCCTCTCATGTGATGTTAAGTAAACATTGGATAGCGGTGCCAAGTCAGAATTGCCTTTTCGAATGAGAACATGTCAAGTCATGTACTCTCATTCTGAATACCAGTCTCCCCTTTCAGGATAAGGCCACCAGACTGGCTACATTGCGAGTGGCATGCACATTCGCGGCACCCTCGGTGCGTAATGTATGCGGGTTATGCAAGGATATGGCACGGGTGCAGGTATGTAGTCATGTTGCAGCATTCCCCTTGTCCCAACGTAACAGGATGCGGTCTTGGACTCGATTGGATTGGTGGAAGAGATCTCGTAACCTTCATTTTGCTAAGATGAGATGGTCTCAGGTCATTGTTGTTGACAACAACAAGATTAGTGGTAGTGAAAGAAAGCGGAAGTCGATGGTCCCCACTTTCAAAAAGGCAAATTAGCGAAAGAAAGCGAAAGTCGACGAGTTTTTCTGTTCCGTCGTTCAAATGCTTGTTGTGAGAATAGTAGGGCTTAAGAGAGACCCTTGAAGATGCGCGCCTCTCACAGGAATCTTCCCCCTGGACGGGTTGCTTAGGTCGTATGCCTGCTTTCTGAATTGCTGTAATGGTACCTTGACAATGGTATGTTTTTTTTTAGTTGCTAGTTGACGAGTAATTCTAGCCTTTCTTCGATTGCTAGTTGACGAGTAATTCTTAGGGACACGAGGGGGGACTATGGTAGCGAAGTTACCTTTCACCAAAAGACATGCTTCGGAATGAGTCCCTGTTTTCTGGACTTGCTGTGTCCATGTGTACAGTACGTGAGTTATTGACAGATGCGAATGTAGACAGCCGCAAGGGTCAGGTGCAGTGCTTTTTGTACTGTAGTTCAATGTGGTAGCAATTTTACCCAGGTCATTTGCACGTGTATGAAGACAGCCACAAGGGTCAGGTGCGGTGCTTTTTGTGCTGTATTTTGCGGTGCTAGCATTTTTCACCCCTGGGTCGTCCGTACACAGGAATGTAGACCGCCACATATGATGAAGTTCTCGAGTGCTTTTGCGTTTTCGATGTTAGCCTGCCTTGTGGACGGGTGTGTGCCGTTCACTTGTTTTATCCCGAATGCCACCAAAATACTTTTTGCTCATGTTTAATTGGAAAGTCTGTCTGTAGGTACTGGCACACTTTGTGTGGGGAGGCATTTGTCGAAGGCAGTAGTTCCTAAGAGACCCCTCCCATATGCATGCTTGTACGAGAGCGCCGTCTTGGGTGCCGTCTTGGTACCGTGGGCAAGGCTTTTTTTTCCGGTCGCAACTCCTTCCCACCAGTTTTTTGAAGATCGCCGCGAGAACAAAGGTAGGTGAAACTACTTCAATGCGGGTTGTCCCAGGACCCATGCTGCTCGATCTCCAGGCTCTGTTCTCCTTCGTTACATCAGCCATCCTGTCTTTTCACAATTTCGGCAACACATAATGCAGATTGTGGTTGACGATGGCGTTTCTAGGAAGTGTGACTACTTAGCGTCGTTTACGGACGTCATCGGTCTCTGTTTTTTGTTTTCTTTGTTTTTTAAATGATGGAATGGGAATGGTGAAGCATGGGGTGCTTTTGTTGCTGATTGTGGAAATCCAACAATGATGGGCGAATGATGGTCGAATTTAGTTGTTGGTCTTATAAGGTGCAATGTTGATAGTTTGCAAAATGAAAGCTGCGTTGGTACTATGTGCATGAATCTAGTCGCAATCGTGATCAGGCTGGTGCTTTTTTCTGACATGAAAGTAGTCGCAGTGGCGCTGGTGGAGCTATCGGTGCCCGGGATTGGGCCCCACTGATGCCATGTTCATCCCTTGGAAAGTACGAATGTAGTTGCAGTAGTGTGGCGAGGTCCGTGCTTTCCTAGCATGAGCGCAGCATATGACTTCTTGTCGCAAGCCTGAACGTAGCATCACTTCTGGTACTAGGTTCATTGCGATGCGGCATCATTTCTGGCGGTGTTCGTGCTTGGAAAGTGTGAACCTGGTCTTTCATTTCCGAGCATGAACATGTGACGAGTGGAGCCATATGCTAGTATGTGGCTATTAAGCATTGCTGAGATTTCACAAATCATTTTCCCGGGACTCATTCTTGTGGGCTCACTGTTTATGAGGACGCCGAATGTGGTGACATCTCAAATCATTTTGTACGCCTTAAGAAAAACGCGCATGGGCATCGTGGACCCCCACTGCTATCTCTCCCCACCATTTTGTCCGCCATATACTGCATCTGTCTGGCTGCGAGCTTGAGGCGAAAGAGAAACTACAGACGCGTCTAACATCTTCCACGGAGGAGGAGGGCTATGCACACGAGTCGTGGTGTCCCAGCGATGGGATGTTTTAAACCACCAGCACCTTGGAAGCTCATTTGGCTAACGCGAATATCTGCCGAGTGCCAATACAAATTGAAATGGCATGGCTGCATGAGTGCTCTTTGTGTCTTTTTTTTTGCTGGTTAAAGGGGCGGGGGGAAGGAACTCTGGCGACATCTGATGTCTTCCCCTGAAAATAATGCGCCCCGAGTGTGGTGTTAGGCGGGAGATGGTAGGAGGGGGGCTTTGCCTATCAGGTGTGTGGTGTCCGAGCGATGGGATATCTGCTTTAGAGCCAATACAAATTAAAATTGCATGGCTGCATCGGAACTCTTTTTTTTTTTTTTTTTTTTTTCCTTGCCTGATGTTGCCAACCGCTTCTTTCCCGAAATATCCACATGTATTTATTTTAAGGAAATAGCCTCAGGACTACAGCATTCGATATGAGTGTTGATGTGCCAGCAGGGCAGATCTGCGTGGCATGTGCGCTGTATTGTTTTCGAGAGGACAATCTTGGTTTTCTCAATTAGCCCCCCGCTACTTCTGAGACTCTTTTCCCCGACCCTGGAAGTATCCTGCGCGGCGCGCACTGAATAACGAAGGGACCAGCTCACCAGTACACCCCTAAGCTGCTGAAATACAGACCCAAGTTCGAATCGAGTTACAATCAGATGACCAGAATAAAATCATTCTGAATTACTTGGGACCGGTCAGTTTACTTTATGATATCTCAAGGCCGTCGCCCTTTCAGTTACGGTCAGTTTAATTGATGATATCTCAAGGACCTCCCTTTTATGATATCGTCGGAACGTGACTACGCCAAATGAATAGATATGGAAAGTAGTGGCAAATACGGAGGCTCCGTGCGGTGAAACCAGACTGGTTTCGGCTGGCCACTGCTTGGGGGTCTTTGGTCGGTTGATGAACTGGGGGCGACTTACTCTTTGTCCCGTTTGTCTGCTTACCACAGAAGACAAGAACTGCTACAGGTAACGGGTTCAACCCCGCATCATTACTGGAATCATTACTGAGATGTTTTTTCGACCAAATGACAGATACCTGGATCACATCCAAAGAAGTAGAAAACATGTAAACAATATAAAGGAGACAAACAAAACAAGGCTCGCGAGTACACGGGTTGAAACCAATCACAACGGATCCTGGCAACAAACCACATCGACCAAACCATACAACACCCTCTGAAATGAAATCAGAATTGGAAAACACTCTTTCCGATCATCTCGTTATCTGGCCTACTGAGGAAATCTTTCCAACGTAGTCAGGAAAGGCATCCAATGGTCCGAGCAACCTGCGTACCTAGAAAGTAATTGAGAGCAGAATCAAAGTGTTGAGAGAAGAATCCAAGTTTTGAGAACAGAATCAAAGTCGTTTCCTAGGTAACCACACCTGGAAAGCTCAATCTTGAGAAAAAGAAAAGCAAATTCAGAATTGAGAACAGTTGTGAAGTGACGCGTTTGATGAAGAAAGGTTACAATAACGCCGATCATCTGTTGTCAACGAGAATACACTTTGGAACAAACTGCACCCATCGGAAAAGTCTTCCTGATTCTTGTGCACCGCCATACAAAATCGACCGCTGTTATTTCCAACAGTAGGCAGCCCAAGAAGCCTAACATGCACCCTTGTTTGTATGCTTAAAAGTGACATTACATTTATAGCAAGATCGGAATTTCTGCAGGATGTGAAGCCCAAACGAAGAAGAACGAGCGTCGTTCTACTTGCGAATAGTAGTGACAGAGAGACGGTTAACGGGGGCCAAAATATTCGCCATTTCGGTTGGCAATTGCGGTGCGAATTTCATCAAATATTCGTTATTTTCAAAATGCCAACATTTTCATTATTGATCCAAACATGTCAAAACTGCACACATGACATACTCTAGAGCACATATATATCACACGAAAAGGAAAACAAGAAAAAAAGCAAAAAATCAGCACAATATGACAGTTCCAGTGCAACTCGGTGCAAAATCCGTCGAAAATAACACCCCTAGGTAACCACGTGTGGAGACAGAGACAGAGACGTTATCAACTTGAACGAACTTTGCATCACATCCAAGAGGAGATACTCATTATGCACACATAATAGACAAGCAAGAGCAGGGCTAGAGGACTTAGCCATAGGCATACCAACATTTTGACGAACAACAATACTGCAAACTCTAACAAAATAATTATTTTCAACAACTTCGCATCCTTACCTGTGAAACGAGTCCTAACTGTTTGGAAACGCTTAGATGTTCAGTAATCTACAACCCAGTCTAATTTTGATAGGATAGCCCTAACATGCCCCCTTATTTGTATGCTTAAATGTGAGATTATATTTATAGCCCTAACATGCGCCCATTCTAAGGTTGATAGGATAGCAGAGTGGGGTAAATTTGAGAATACCGCCCTGATTTCAAATGATGCCCCCATGAGAAAATCGCCTTTTTGTTCAAATATGCTATCATGTCGATCAATTCGGCTGTGCTTTGGAGGGCAACTCTGACAAAAGAATGTTGACATATGGAAATCCGTTTTCCACCTTTGACACTGCACTCGTAATATATGGATATATTCGGTCACACGGCTTTCTAACTTGAGTAATGAATAACCTCATGTATGATGGATGACTCCAATCAGGAAGTTGCGATATCATACAGTTACGACTCTGGCGAGTCTCTTCGAGTGTCTCCAACCACTCTGGCCAGACCTTTCTGCTCGAGCGAGCCTCTACGAAGAAATGTTGGCACCTTGGTAGGCAGTAAACATTATCAAATGATCCTCTAGGATTCATTTTTCTCACCTTTTGAAGCTTAGCCTGTCGATGCTCCCCATAAAGTTGCCTCAAAGTGTCACATTCGTAAGAGGAACGCCTCACAAAAGAAGAGTTATTAAGAAACAACTTCATTAGCTTAGAATGGTAAACGAAGGGACAACACATGAATGTAGCACCCAAGTTATGAGCAATAGGAGAGCAAATCATCCTATTGAACCATCAGTACTTGCTAAAGTTGTGCCCGTATACGAACCGCAGTGTTAGGAAATGTAAGAGCTACTACGGAAGCGCCTAAATTCATCCTCCTATAAACGTCTCTAGTATTTTTACCAGTAGCCAGGCCAATCACTGATGGCTTAAGACATTATTGATAACAACTAATTTCTTCAACCTATTTTAGAAGGCAGTAAGCATTACCAACTGAACCTTTTGGATTCCGTTTTCCCACCTTCTGAAGATTAGCATGCTGATACGTTGTAGAGCGGTGCCTCAAGATCTCACATTTGTTAGAGGAACTTATGAAATGAGTGTTGTCAACAAATGATTTTGCTAGCCCATACTTGTGAACCAAGGGATAAACATGAAGATATCGTTCAAATTATGATCAATAAGAGATCAAATCAACTCATTAAGCTATTGTTAATGACGACAGATTTCTCGAACCTGTTATTCATTAATTTTCAAATCAAATGAACAATCACGCTTCTCGAGAGAACTGCTTAGATCTTCATGAGAAATGCAACTCTTACTCATATATAAAGACAAAGATCGAAAAGAAGAGACCATATGTTTACGAAGAAAGGAAAGAGAATTAAACAGTAGGCGGAGGAGGGATGTTCTTAAAGTTATCCATCCATCGGGAAGAGATGTGAGTTATCGAGGTGAAGGAGGTGTGCCAGTCAGCAAGTGGAAAGTAAGATTCGAAGGAAGATGGATTAAAGCTCTTTGAACATTGACGAAATTGTGAAAAAAGTCCCACAATTTCTTGTTTCGATATGAAGAAACTTTCATACGACGAATCAACATATTTTTCCAAGTAGTAACGATATTCAAACCACCGATGATCGTCGAACATACGTATTGAATCATCCTTTCTCGAAATGACTCATGGTAACAGATTTTGACCTCTAGTCGTTTACGTATTAGACATAAAGGCATAATGAATAGTTACCTCTTGAGAGAACACTATATAAGCGTGACCTTGACCTCGTTTCTCGGAAAACAGGCACTGCATAGCAAGCCAAAGCAAAACGCTGCCATTTAAAAAGATCCCGCTGAGTAGAAGGTTTGCTCAGAAGAACAACAAACGGTTATTTGAAAACCAGAACATGACTCTAAAATGAAACAACAAAATGTTTACTCCGTCAGGGAACCAACCTTTAGAAGTGCGTAAATGAGATTGGTATAACACGACTAGACATAACAGATAACCCATAAGAACGTCGTAACACCTGCCACTTATCGCTCAGTAACTGATCACTACGAGGCACAATTGCACACTCGTAAATGTAGTGTGGTCTCAACAATAATCAAGAATGCGAACCAAATTCGTGGACACGATAAAAACGATGAGAGAAAAACAACACCTGTCCACG